ACATATTTGTAGATAAATTTTTGTTCAGGTGAACTCTTAGAGATAAAGTAGCTGAGTGAAAGGCATATTCATAATATTTTTGGTTGGCATTGCTAAGCTGTCAGTAGTGCATATTAGACATATAGAAAAGACCCTTTTGTCTGATGTGAATGACATGGATTTTATTTCCTGTCTTTATAAGCTTTAGATAATTTAGTTTACTTTAATTGGTCATTTACATAGAAAAATAGGGCATCTCATTTTGATTTTCATTTCTTTAATTACTAAAGAGATTGAAGTTCATATTTCACATAAATGTTGATAACTGCTGTTTCTCTGGAGAATTATTCATTTTGTATTTTGCCCATTTTTCTATTTTATTAGACTTTTTTAATTTGATAAATTTTCACTTAGTCAAATAAAAGTACTTTTATGGGTTCATTGAAGCCTTTATCAGCTCTGGAGTTTATGTGGGTGTCAGTTAAATCAACTTTATTTTTCCTAAGTAGTCTATTGTACCAGGGCCTCTCAAGATGTGGGTAATGGCAGACATGCAAACCTGAGCCATTCAGGATTTTCAACTCAAGTTTCAAAGATTTGCAATCACAGGAAGTCATAGAATTAAATCAGTAGCTAGAATTGATTGAAAACACAAAATAGTGGCTATATTCCTTTAAGCCTAGATTTAGCTGAGACCACAGGACAATAATTTTTATCGTCTGGAAGGCATTTTTGTTAAAATGCTTAAACCCATGAAGCCCAGACCATGAAAACACTGGGTTCTAGTTCTTGTATTACTTGTAATAACGTTCCACTTGCTTTTTAATTTCAGTATCGACAGCTTCATCTAAAGATATTCAACTGCTAAGCTACAAAATTGGGAACTGAATCGCTCTTTACTGGGGAGTCTTATTGGGGATGAGCCATAAAGTAACCTTAATTATGGAGTACATTATTTTCTCATGATTGTGGAACCCTTATGAAGATCAGAGAATTCTCTAATTAAAGGCATAGAATACATTAATGTATTTTATAAATGTATATAAATGTTTATGTGTCTATTTATTTATGTCCATACACACACAGACATACACATTTCAAACATTAAGGGCATCAGAGCAACACCTTTGATTTAAAAAGGAACAAATTAAGATCTAAGACTATGGTCTGTAAATATTTCTGATTTCACAATCTCAATGAAAATCTGTATGTCTCTCTATATATTTATGAATCATATTAATGTATTTTTATTAAAGTTCAATGTACTTTGTAAAATACAACACAATACTACAAATTTTAAATGACTTAATAAAATAGATATGACCCCACTGAGTCATCCCAAACACACCCATATCCCTACTTTGAAATAACCACCTTAGAGAGGTTAACTAACTTGTTCAAGGTCATGTGAAGGGGAGAAAGAACAGAATTCCAGCTGTATTTATTGCTACTGCAACGTCCTGCTTCCTACCAAATATATAGTTAGAACTAGGCCAAGGTCAGCTGGGTTAATAGTTTCCACTCCTGTAAACTCTATACTTTAAAATCTCTTATAACCACAAATAACTGAACTTTAGATTTAAGGCTAATATTAAAAGCATATTTGTGCTAACAGAATCTCTAAAATTGACTTTAAGGTTATATCTGAGGGAGAGCTCCAAATTATTAATTTCCTGCCAGTCTTGCATAACCCTGGCTTAAACCTGTGGTATATTCTTGGAAAGCACCTCCGCCCTTACCCCAAGGCACAGAAACTATCATTAAAATTTCTAAAATTATAACACAAAGACATTTCTGTAGGAACAACTTTGTGCTTTTGCTCTTGTTTTCCTAAATTCGAATCTCCTTCCAGTTGCAAATAATTTTATAATCCCATAAACTGAATTTCTGAAACTTATTTAGCTTTATATGACCAGAATCCCTCTTAACTAAATGATCTAAAATATTAGCTTTATGCTTTAGAAAGGGCTAAGGAAAACAGAATTATTCAACCTGTAATTTCATGGAAAATTACCTCGGTATCGTTTGGGTGACGAGGACCCAAGATGTTCATGAAAATCCCAGGCAGACCATGCTCTTTGTCATTCAGGGTTCTGAGCTCACTTTCAGGGTCATGTGTGCAGGTGTGTGTGTACACACAAATGCACCTTCATAGGATGATATGCTCAGCTATATTTGTGTGATATTCATACTCTAGATCATCTGAATGGGTACTTGAAAAAAAGATTAATTTATTTGTTTGAAAGTTACAGAGAGAGAGAGAGACAGAGAGAGAGAGAGAGAGAGATCATTCACCAGTTGGTTCACTTTCCAAATTGCTGCAATGGCTGGGGCTGAGCCAGGCTGAAGCCAGGAGCCAGGGGCTTCATCCAAGACTCCTGCATGGGTGGCAGGTGGCCCAAGTACTCAGGGCATATTCTGCCCACATGGGATCCCGGAGTCACAGCAGTGGCCACAATGCCAGCCCTTGAATAGTTATCTTAACCTCAAGTTCTACTGTGTAGTTTCGGTGCTTGGCTTTCATTTGGGTTAATAATTGTGGTGGTGTTAAATAGGGCTGCTGTAATTATTGTGGGCTGAATTAGTCAGAACTCCATTGCCTGTCATAAAAATAAACAAAAACACGCAAATGAGATGCCTTGCACCACAAGCTCCAGATCCTGCAAAGATCACATCTGGTAAATTGGGGAAAGCCTTTCAAGTCTGAGAGTTGTGTCTGGGCCAGTCAGAGCAAGAATTCACACAGCTGAAGGTGTCCCTCTAAGCAGGAACTCCACCCGTGTAATGCTCCTCATATTTATAGGAGGAGAGATGGATGACATCTAGTGGACATATGACAAGGGAGGCGCCCTGCTTGAGAACTTGGCCTTGTGAGAAAGGGAGAGCCTCTGGCACACAATAGCAAGGGCCAGTCCATCCTTCCGTGGACCTCATGTACACCTGCAAAGCCAGCTCACGAGAAGCTACTGGAAACTGGTATGAAATGAACCTACAAGCTTACCTGGATTTGTCTTTCCTCACTAGCTGAAGCTAATGGAAATTTATGGGCTCCCCAGACTTGGAAGGGCTCTATTTAAATCTGTTTGGGTCACTTGCCCAGCCGCATGGACAGAAGGAATGAATATTATGATTGGCTTGGTCTAGATCACGTGGGGACTCTTGGAGAGTGATATATGCTTTGCTGCTTATCACCACACAGGAGTTAGGAAATATTAGTTATTCAAAAGAAGGGATGTCAGCAAGAAAATAATCAGTGGATGCCCTGTACTAGGCAAAAAGAACAGAGCAGAAGTGGTGCATTTGAGCTAAATGAATGCCAGATGGCATTGCAGAATGGCATAACATTAAAGGCTTGTGTACTAGTTTGAACAGAAAGAAGAAGTGAAAAAAATTAAGTGATCTCATGGCACATGTTGGTATGCTAACTTTAAAAACAGTGTCTTTATGGCATCAGGACCATATTCACACTACTAGTAGTGATTTAATTTCATCAAAGTACTGCTGGTCACCACATAAAATTGTTGTTATTAATTTTTGATGGACCCTTTTTATATTTAATTAGTAAATGTTTTATCTTTTAATGGTACACCTGGGTTTGTTGTTGTTGTTGTTTTGCAGGACATTTATTATATATATATATTATAGAGAGAGAAGGACACACACATACACACAGGGAGAGAGAGGGATGGAGGGAGGAAGGGAGGAAGGGAGGGAAGGAGAGAGAGTGAGAGAGAGAGATCTTTCATCCATCAGTTCATTCCCTAAATGTCCACAAAGGCCGGGGCTGGGCCAGGCTGAGGTCAGGAACCAGGATCTCCACCTGGGTCCCCATGTAGTGGGAGGGGCTCAAGCACTTGGGTTATCTGCCACTGCTTTCCTGGGCACTTTATCAGGGAACTGGTTTGGAAATGGAACAACCGAGACTCAAACTGGCACACAGGTGGCAGCAGAACTTTCTGTGCCACAATGCTGGCCCCTGTATTAATTTTTTAGCTAATATGATAGTAAAGTTAATTTCAGGCAATATTAGGCTTGACTTCTTCCTTTACAAGAGAGGAATGCATTACTTAACTCTGAGAGCTCTTTCTAGCTTTCCTATTTCATCTGAGATCCACTCTCTTCTTTTTCAAGCTAAACACTAGAACTCCTTCCATCTTTTCTCATATGATATAATCTTAATTATTCTTTAGGATATGATTGCCAGTGGGGAGTGATAGTCTTTGGGAGATATATTAGGATCATCTGAGGGGCTATGTCAAACACCACAGGTGCCCTCCCCACCTTCTGAAACAGCCCTTTTATGAGCGTGTGTGGCTCATTGATGAGAGAGTCACTGTAACCATGGAATAACTGATGTGCCTCAAGGGAACCAGGGTAGAAAATAAGACAAAAATCATGACTTTAGAACATTAATCCCCTTCAGCATAGCACCCAGAGCTGAGCATCATGACCTGTGTGATATGGTTGCTAAAAAGCAGAAAGCACTTCAATTGGATCTGTCATTACGTTAATGGCCTTTTCCAGTTCTCAATTTTGTCATTCTTAACCTTTAATCTTCTGAGTGACTGTGGCAAACAGGGAGTAGGCGGCCCAGATCCTCCTTGGAGGAAGGCCTTGCTGCCCCGCTGCCAGCCTCTTTGGGATCTGTCTCTATCACAGAGGCCACTAGGCAAAGGGCCAGGGCCTTCCTGGGGTAGCCTGCAGCTAATAACCACTTTGGCCATCCAGGGGACACAGATGGGCAATCCTAACTCCAGGTCTTCTTGCAAAAAGATTCACTGGAGCTCCACTGTGGTTCAGTGTCTTCCTCTGCCCTTTTCTCCCAGAGGTGTTGCTCTTTAATACACATCGTGTGTCCCTAACACCACCTCCACATCTGCTCCTGGAGAGCCTGGCTGCAACACTGACTTCTCCAAGAGTAACTGTGTTTCAGCTTCCCGCTAACCTGACCATCTCGCCTGACAGTCCAGACGTTCCTGCTACTCCCTTGGCAACTAGATGTGCTCTGCTGCTACACTTACCTGGAGGACTCCCGAAGCAGGTCCTTTGGCTATGGGGATTGCAGAAACCACTTTCAGAGCAGCAGGTGTGCCAGTGTTGTTGCAGTCCTGAAAAATTCACAGGGACCTACATTACTGAGTGCTTTTCATTTGGCAGACACTATTTGGAAACACAAATTCATTCACAATCCTATTGTCAGTACTGTTACTACTCCAATTTTTTAGGTGAAGAAATCAGCACAGAAAATCACCCAGTTGCTGAGGTGGTAGAGCAGGGGTTTAAATGTCATCAGTCTTACTTCAGAACCTATGGTACTAGCCACTATCCCAGGGATTCCCCAATTTTGACCTGCACACAGAATCACTTGGTGGGTTTTTAAAACACAGATGGCCAGACCCTGCACCAATCGTTTCTGATGCAGCAGGGCTCAGGGTGGGGTTGGGGGAGCAGTGGTGGTGGTTCTTCACTATTTGCATTTCTAACAAGTTCTCAGGTAATGCTGCTGCTGCTGTTCCAGAGACCCCATTTTGAGAGCCACTGTGCTACATGATAGAGCCTGTCAAGAAAAATGACACCTGTCACCAGGTGGTGATGCACTGCCCTTCTCTACATGATAAAAGACAGTTTTAAAATATAAATTTGGGGAACTACTCACCAGATAATGTGAGCACAGCTTCTCCAATATCATCCTAGTCTCTTCCTGCTGCTAAGCCTCTCTCTGGCAACAGCACCTTTTTTACAAATCTCAGTGTTGCTTTCCTTGAATGTTAATAGGAACTTGGAATTGATTTATTGTATTTAAGCTGTATTACTTAGATACATAGCTTTGCCTTTACAAAAATGGGAAAGTTGTCATTATGAGCTCAGCCAATGGTAAGGCCACAAAATGAGCAGTCAGGCCTCATGCAGTATTTCAGAAATGTTGCTAAATAGTTTTTGTGAATGCAACACATTTAGAAATCATAACAAGAGTATTTGTAATACCTTTGAATCTAGGAAACTACCAGGTGATTTGTTGGATTATGTTTTTACCATGAATCTTTTATTTATACATTAATTCATTCAATTAATATTTAGGGCTACAGCATTGCACTGCAGAATCATATATCGTTGTAATCGTTGTAATAATAGTCACTAGTGTTTCTATCATCCTACTTTCTCAGGGACTTTAAATCTTTTCCAACTTTTGGTTGGTTGGTTTGCATATCACCTCTGTGAAGTAAGATGATCCGGTGTGTTATTATGTCCACAAATCCAGGGTGGACTCTAGAAAGCTAAGCACCCCTGGGCTGGGACTGCCTCCAGGCAGACCCACAGTGGAGATGCAAGTAGAATTTACTTCCCCAGACTCCCAAGCATCATCCTGCCAAGCAATTTTCTGTCTCAGGGGGATTTTCTGTCCTACATTGCTGTGGTAAGATACTTACCTCTAATTTTACTTTTTAAAGAAATTTAATAAGGAAGTTAAAAATTAATACATGTTGTGGCTCTCTGATGGTTTCAGACAGGAAATCTGTTACTTGTACCTTAAACTTCAAGAGGGGGGATCTGAACTTTGTCCTCTAAGGACTCTGTAATTTATAGCCCTTGGAAAATAATAGTCCTGTTTAAGACAACTGTAAAAGGGGGAGGGGGAAGGGTCACATAAACTCATGGGTTTCTAGCATTATTATTCTCTGCAGTGTATGCAAAGAAACTGGATGGAATTATATGGGGCTTTTTCAAAAGACCACAATCTCCTAAGAACAGTAGTTAATCTCCACTAGCAGCAGTTAATGCTACTGATCATATGAAATCATGGGACTTGATCTCATTTCTATTAGGAAAGTGTTAAGCTCAATAGCTGTACTGACTTTTATAATACAGAGATCAGAAAGCCACAGTTTATACTCCACAGAAGATGGTACAGAAGAAACCAAGAGCTTCAAATGAAAGAGAACAACTCAATTCTAAAATATGAATTTCTTCATGTTTGTGATTCCTAACATTTGCAAATATGTTCACTTTATATATTTAAATTTTGCCAGTGTGTGTTTCCAATGTACTAAATACTCATTTTCATTAATTTTCAGTGAGTGCCAGGTTAAATGACTTTTGCCTTGATTGTCCTTTAAATATGAAAACCTAATAGAATTATTGTTCCACAAAAAAATCTTTGGGCCAGTCTATTTATTTTGGTTTATTTATGTATAGTCAAATTTTATAAGATGTTATAGATTTCAGAGAAGTAATAATATAAAAAAGACTCAAGCATCATGGTTTTTAGTCAACTAAGTATCCATCAGTGTATTTCCTTCTTGAGTTGATAAAATGACTTAAGATAAAATACCAGGGACCAGAGTTGTGGCATAGTGGGGAAAGCCGACACCTACAACGCTGGCATCCCATGTGGACCCAGTTTGAGACCCAGCTGCTCCAATTCCAATCCAGCTCCCTGCTAATGCACCTGGGAGAACAGCAAAGATCAGCCCAAGTGCTTGGGCCCCTGCACCCATGTGAGACACCTGGAAGAACCTCCTGGGTCCTGGCTTCGGTGTGACCCTACCCAAAGCCATTGTAGCCATCTGGGGAGTGAACCAAGGTATCGAAGACCTCTCTCTATCTCTCCCTCTCTTTCTGTAACTCCTTCAAATAAATAAAACAAATAAATCTTTTTTTAAAAAAAGGTAAAATACCAAATTATCTGTCCCTATTCTACATAGCACAAATTGATTACATTAGCAATTTTTTTTAAATCTTTTTTTTTTTTTTTGACAGGCAGAGTTAGACAGTGAGAGAGAGAGAGAGAGAGAAAGGCCTTCCTTTTTCTGTTGGTTCACCCCCCAAGTGGCCGCTACGGCAGGTGTGTTGCGGCCAGCGCGCTGCGCCGATCTGAAGCCAGGAGCCAAGTGCTTCTCCTGGTCTCCCATGCTGGTGCAGGGCCCAAAGACCTGGGCCATCCTCCACTGCACTCCCGGGCCACAGCAGAGAGCTGGACTGGAAGAGGAGCAACCAGGACAGAACCAGCGCCCCAACCAGGACTAGAACCCGGTGTGCCAGCGCTGCAAGGCGGAGGATTAGGCTAATGAGCCCAGGCGTCGGCCACATTAGTGATTTTTAGGGTATAAGACTTGAGGAGTCAATTATCACATAAAATCTAACATTATGAGAAATCAAACTACAGTAGAAATTTTTTAGACATTTATTTTATTTATTTGAATGCAGAGAGAGAATCTTCCATCCTTGATTCACTCCCCAAAAGGCCACAACGGGTGAAGCTGAGCCAAGCAAAATCCAGGAGCTTCATGATAGGTCTTCCACATGGGTACAAGGACCCAAGCTCTTGGGCCATCCTCCGCTGCACATTAGTAGGGAACTGGAATTGAAAGCGGGACTCAAACCGGTACCCATGTGGAATGTAGGCATTGCAGACAGTGGTTTAACCCACTACTCCGCAATGTGGACCCTTATACTACAAATTTAAAGCAAATATTTTCATAATGATATTTAATACTTTTCATAACAAAATACCCCAAAATGGGTTATGTAAATTTCCCTAGGAAAAATCATGGGATCAAAAATCAGAACAAAATCTTCTAGATTTGAGGGACAAATAAACGTTCAGAAGTATACAATTTCTTATGATTTTCTCTTTCTCTTTTTTTTTTTTTTTTTTGGACAGGCAGAGTGGACAGTGAGAGAGACAGAGAGAAAGATCTTCCTTTGCCATTGGTTCACCCTCCAATGGCCGCCGCAGCCGTTGTGCTGCGCTGATCCAATGGCAGGAGCCAGGTACTTATCCTGGTCTCCCATGGGGTGCAGGGCCCAAGCACTTGGGCCATCCACTGCACTCCCGGGCCACAGCAGAGAGCTGGCCTGGAAGAGGGGCAACCGGGACAGAATCCGGCGCCCCGACCGGGACTAGAACCCGGTGTGCTGGCACCGCAAGGCGGAGGATTAGCCTAGTGAGCCGTGGTGCCGGCCTAGACGCATACAATTTCTAGGTGAAGATGGGAACACTTCTGCTAATGTCTATTCTAGTGAATGAAATTACTACAATGTTACCCCTTTTACAATAAATATTTTTTCAAACTGTATTAGTGTACTTGATTGCTACTTGAGAGGAATAATACTTATTCACAAATGTTCAAATTAAATATTTGTTAACAACAACAACCAAAAAAACCCCAGAAACCTTTAGAGGTTGATAGAACAAGCCACGAGTACAGCGAAGTGATATAGTAAAAAAGTAAAGGCAAAGTGGAGGTGTGACCTGAACTGGAGAGTGATAAATGAGGAAGGAGGAGTAGGGTGTTTGCAGGGTGATCTATCAAGACAGAGGTGTGGGGGCCAGCGCTGTGGCTCACTTGGTTAATCCTCCGCCTGCAGCACCGGCATCCCATATGGGCACCAGAGTTCTAGTCCAGGTTGCTCCTCTCCCAGTCCAGCTCTCTGCTGTGGCCCAGGAGGGCAGTGGAGGCTGGCCCAGGTACTTGGGCCCTGTACCTGCATGGGAGACCAGAAAAAGCACCTGGCTCCTGGCTTCAGATCGGCGTAGTGCCGGCCATAGCAGCCATTTGGGGAGTGAACCAACGCAAGGAAGACCTTTCTCTCTGTCTCTCTATCTCCCTGTCTACAACTCTACCTGTAAAAAAAAAAAAAAAAAAAAAAAAAAGAGAGGTACATGGTGCATGGGAGATGATATCTTAGAACACAGGGGCATGGTGGGTGGAAGGTGATCTGTTAGGGTGGAGGATACACAGTTCTGGTCTCCATTCTTCTGTGAGAACACCAGTCCTGTGGATTAAGGTAGAACACTAATCCAAGCCTTAGTATTATGTCTTTAAAGCATTATCTCCAAATATAATCATATTAGGGCTTACTACATCAACAGATAAATTTGGGGGAAGGAGGCATATTTCAGTTCATGACACCACGATTTTTTTTTTATAGTGATTGCCCCATTTTACAATCCCACCAACAGTTGCAATTGCTCTACAACCTTCAGTCCCACCAACAGTTCCAAATCTCTGCAACTGCACTAGTACCTGTTATTCTATGTTTGGAGTTTTATTTTGCTTGTTATAGTAACTTAGCTAATGAGTGGGGCATATGACCATGCCCTTCA